TTGTAGACTGTAGTTGACTGTAAACATACATACAACTGATATCTGCTTGAGACTGACACATGCACACACACTGCACTAGCCCTGAATCACTCAAACACACTGCACTCACTGTATTTCACTGCATACACACTGGCACCCAGTATTTGTCTGAATCTGTTAAATTTGCACACATGCTATATCTATTCTGAAACACCCAAACACGCTGACACATCACACGTTGTAGTTCACTGTAAGCACACCGGCACCCGGTATTTGTCTGAATCTGACAAACTTGCACACATGCTTCATCTGCTTTTTCAAAACTGCATTTTGAATGTTGTCTTGCAATTGTTATTTTCTGTTTACAGGAGGGTTCCCATACCATCCGCGAGTATGGGAACACTGGCGCTCGGGAGTGGTATGATGAGCTCCCTGACGCGGTCCGACGCATCGTGGATCGAGCGGGTTTCGGCGCCTTCTGCCGAGGACTCTCCAGGCTCTCCACATGCAGACCTCTCCTTGCCGCTTTGGCGGAGAGATGGTGGGACACCACCGATTCGTTTCACTTTTCTGCTGCAGGGGACATGACGATGACCCCTTATGATTTCTCGATGCTCACTGGCATCGAGGTAGGGGGGGATCCAATCCCTTTTGACATCGACATGGATGAGTGGACCGCCGCTCAGGTCCATCTACTGGGGGAGGCCCCACCTCTTGCTCGTCCAGGCCTTCGTGCGGTACTCCTGGTTCGAGGTACAGTTTCGGGTTCAGCCCGTGTTGGAGGAGGAGGCACAGATGACCCAGGAGGACGTGGAGACGTATACTCGCGACTTCCTCATGTTCCTGTTCAGGATGACCATCTTCGCCGATCGGGCAAACACCGTGCCTCTCTGTCTTCTCAGCGCATTGGTGGACGTCCGGGACATTTTGCACTATGACTGGGGTGGCGCTGCTCTGGCCACCCTTTATGGATATATGAGCTCGGCTTCGCACGGCAGCGGCCAGTTGCTCGGAGGCTACTGGCGGGCTTGGAAGGTACATTTCTTCTCCACTTTTCATTTCTGTCCGATATTTTCTGTACTCTGTACACTGCACACACGGTAGTCTGCTCTATACTTGCTGTATACTGTACACACGGCACACACATACATTCTGCTTCACACTGACTGTACACTGCTCACACTGTGCACTGCACACAATACACTGCACAACACACGGCTTTGCCATTTCTACTTTATTCTGTATATTCTGCTTTTTCTGATAAATGCACTGGTATTTACCTTGCAGCTGTGGGTTTACGCCTACTTTCCTAGGCTTGCCCCCGTACCAGTCACAGAGACCCCTCTGGTTGTCCCCTTTTCACGGCGCTTTGACGGGAGATGCACCTGGCGGCCGCGAGAGACTTTCGGCTTTTTCCGCCGATACTTCGACACCATTACCCCGACCGAGGTATATTTTACTTGCAGTTAATTTAAGCTTTGCTTTCCCACTGCATATTTCAATAACAGTAGATAACAAACTGTCTGTCACTTTCAGATCACTTGGCGGCCGTGGGCTCCGTTGCCAGCTGTGACTGGAGATCGGTTTGCCGGTGTCGATGAGACCTCACGTTTCCGGATTTTGCTGGAGGGCCCGGTCTGTCGGGCTTGGTACCTGGGGAAGCGTTTCCTACGCCAGACCCTGGGGTTACCTGAGCAAATAGTCCCAGTTCACCCTCCTGCGGATATGAGGGAGACCGAGAGGCTCACCAGCGAGTAGATGGATGACTACACCATTGGCTGGGAGGAAGCCGGCTTCAGAGGCACCGGCGACTATCGGGAGTACGTGCAGACGTACCTGATGCGACCCATGAGCGATGGCCGTCGAGCGGAGGGGGCCAGGCCTGTGGCAACGGCGGCTGGGGCCAGAGCGGGAGTTGGAGTAGGGGCTGCGAGGAGGGCCCGAGTCCGTGGTAGGGGCGGAGTTCAGGGAGGACGGGGGACTGTCTGGCCCGCCCTGCCTGCTGTACTGACTTTCCAGGGGCAGGGTGGGGCGACCTATCAGATCCCCTTCGCCCCTCCGCCAGCTGATCACGAGTTCGTCGGTGTCCCCGACTTACCTCCGGTATGTATTACTGTATTTCTGTACAGCCTTTCATTTTCAGTTTATTTGATATTCCACAGAATATTGATGCATCTGATACTTTTGCAGGCTTCTTCTGAGTACACCCGTCAGTCGTTGGCGATGAATGCCTCGATGATGGGGATGCTCCAGCGGACTTTTGACCTCCTAGCCGTCTACAGCATACCACTGCACTAGCCCTGAATCACTCAAACACACCGTACTCACTGTATTCTACTGCACACACACTGGTACCCAGTATTTGTCTGAATCTGTCAAACCTGCATGCATGCTATATCTGTTCTGAAACACCCAAACACGCTGACACAGCACACGTATTTTACTGTAAGCACACCGGCACCCGGTATTCGTCTGAATCTGACAAACTTGCACACATGCTTCATCTGCTTTTTCAAA